GCGCAGGCAAGGTGGCAGCATCTGATAAGGGGAGCGGGATTAGTCCCGGCAGAGATCCCGGGCAATCCCACCTCGCTCGGCTGCCCCTGCCCTGCCCCTCGCCAGGGACAGGGCGGGATCTGCAGCCCGGGAGCCGTCCCAGAGGCGGCTCATCCCGCCCGGAGCGGCGGTGGCATCGCCGCAGGTGCCTCCACCACCATCTTGGCAGCTCCGGGAGCTGCAGAGCACATCCACGGGCCAGAGCACGTGGGAAAACCACGCTCTTTGTCCCTTTCCATCCGCACGCCCGGCTGCGTGGTGGGAGCGGGACAGCCTGGCTGCGGGGCGCCCGCCTGCCCCAAATATCCATTCCCCACCCGCTGCTCCGGGACCGCGTCCTCCTCTCATCCCCTGCCCACCAGGCAGTCCGACCCCCGGGCACCCGCGGGGCTGTCGCGGGCAGCTCGGGCGGTCTTTGGCAGGGCCGGGCAGTGCCCGTCACGGAGCCGAGCGGGCTCAGCTCCCCGGGCGCTTTCTGCGACAGCCTCCCCGGGGCTCGCAGACCCGGGATAACAGAGCTCGCAATGTTGTTTTCTCCTCGCCTCCTCGGGGATTGGTTTATCTCTATGAATAACTCCATCCCGGCTTTGATCTCCTCTGCCATTAAAGCGTGACAGGCTGTGAAATGTGCTGTTGCTGCCGTCAAATCCCCCTCCCGCTCATCCATCCCCCCCGCCGCCGCCTCCTCCGTGCTGCTCCCCCGCTCCGGGGAACCTCCTTTCCCGGGCCCGTGAGGGGATGCGGAGCGGGGAGTGGGGCCGGACCGCCCCGGGGCAGCGGCCAAACGCTGCTCAGGAGCCGGGAAAAACCCATCCCTCTCCCCAATCCCTCTCCTTCTTCCCGCTGCGGCAGGAGGAGCATCCCCGGGCCCGGCGGCGGGTCGGGCGTGGCGGCCCCGTCCCCGCCACGGGGGCTGATGTCACGGCTAATTATAACATCCCCCGTCCCTCGCCCCCGCCAAAGCTTTACCTGAGAGAGGGTAAAAATAACTCCCGGCGAGGGAGGAGCTGGAACGAGCCCAAAGACTCCTCCAGATATCTCCAAAACTCGCACAAACCGGGACGGCACCCCCCCTGCCTGCGGCGTGGGGACACGGCCGCGCTTTGTCCCCGGCTGCGGGGTCAGGACGCGCTCCCCTTGGCGCCGGTGCTGGCTGGGAGTGTCGCCGGTCACCTTCACCCCTCTCGGGTGTCGGGGTTGGGACAGGTGGTGTAACCGGAGCCGGGCCGAGCTCGTCCCCCCGCCCTGGCGCTCCCCGAGAGCTGTTTAAGCCGAGCGAGGCAGGTTAATGGCCCCGGTCGATGATGGAACGTTTTCATTACAGCATATCTCTCTCTCTCTCCCTCTCTCTCTCTCTCTCCCTGCTGCAATCGCTCCCAAGAAGACACATTAAACCTCCCCGTGCCAAGGGGTGGGATCAGCCCCTCGCTCACACCAGGCAGCAGCACTCGCCTGTCCGTGCCCTGACAGGGCTGAAATAAACCCCCTCAGCCTGCCATTCCATTTCCCTTCTCCTCCTCCTCCTGCAGCCGCGGCACAGACACTCTGTCCCAGAGCTGGGGAGCTCCAGAAACCCCACCCCAGCTCCTCCCTGCTCCTCCCTGCCAAGAGCATCCTCCTGCACTGCTCGGTGTGGGATCAGCCCAGCTCGCTCCCAACCTGGTCCTGCAGGGCTGAGCCAGCCCAGGGATCCCATCCCAGGAGAATCCCTGATGCCTTTAGAGCCCAGCCCTGCCCATGGGGCAGCTGCAGCTCATCCCCACCCAAGGGTTGTGACCTGGCCCCCATGTCCTGGTGGCTCCCAGCCACCCAATCCTCCTCCCTGGCCCCCTTTCCCGGGAGGAGTTTCCAGCTCAGACTCTCTGAGTTGCTCCCAGAAGGGCTGACCTTGCTCTCGGCTCGATGAAATTTCATCCCATGGTTCTGGCTCTCGTCCCCAAGGTCACCCAACCCTTTCTCCCAGGTCCCCAGGCTCTGTGGGATCTGGCAGCATCCCTCCTACACAAGGGCCCTGTTGGGAATATGGGGCTTAGGGACCCCCAGGAAGGGGCTGTCACACCCTCAGTCACCCCTGGCAGGGTCCCCATGCGTGTCCTGCCCGTTCTGTCACCGTCACCAGCTCGGGAATGGCAGATAACTGTGCTGGTACCAGACCAGATCTGTACCCAGCTCCTGACTGATTTGTTCACCCAGTTTGTTGTGTCCACCTGCGCTGGGATGCGCTCAGGGCTCCCAAACCTCGTGGTGTGTGCAGGGAAGGAGGTGCAGCAGCCAAACCGGGGGTTTGGGGTGAGTTTATCCCACCCAGGCATGAGCCAGAACCTCCTGTGCAGCCCCTGCACCTCCCAGCTCTGCTGGATTTCGATGCTCCCCTTCCCCCTGGGCCAGTGCTGGCGGCTGCAGGTCCAGGCTGGGGCTGGAGGTGGTTCTGTGGTCTCTGGATGCTTTTACAAAGTGCTGAGTGCAGGAGAACAGCAAACCACAAGCTGCTGCAGGGAGGAGACGCCGGAGCTCCCGGCAACCAGGCTGGATGGAGGCTCCATCCCAGCACCCTGCAAAGGGGCTGCTCCCTGGGATCCCCGTCCTGGCCACTGCCTCCATCCCACCACCCTGCACCAGGGATGCTCTCCAGGATTCCCAGTCCAGCTGATGGAGAAGCACAAGGCCTGGATGCCATTCCCTGAGGGAAGAGGTGGCTCCCTGTGCCCAGCTGGGATCCAAAGCATGATATGGCATAACCCGGCACTGGCTGGGCTCTGCAGGAGGAGTCACGGCTGGAACAGCACCCAAATCCTGCCAAAACCATCCCTGCTTGGAGGAGGATGACCCTCACACCGCTTGGAATGTCGGATTTGCTGGATGTTCGCTGCATGGAGGAAGATGAGCCCACAGGGATGGGCCCTGCCCGGGCAGGATGAGCACTGTGAGACCCCTTGGGGACCCCTCCATCCTTCTGCCCTCCTGGCACCACCCAGGCAGGTGGGCTCTGCAGCAGCACAATGCCACAGACATTTTGGGAAAACCTCTGGCTCCTGCTGCCCTGAGGAGGAGCTCCCAGAGCCTGGCATATGGCGGCTCCGGAGACAGCCTGGGAGCCAGCAGGGAGGACTGGCTGGAGCAGCCACTCGGGCTGCCAGGGCCGGGCCACGCAGGGAGGGTGGAGGACACGGCGTGGGGACACAGCACACCGGGGACCTGCCCACCCCCCCACATTCCCTGGGCCTGGCAGCCCCTCGGGCAGCACCAGGAGCTCCCAAAGTGCTCCTGGAGCCGGTGGTGCCTCTGCTCCGTCCTGGCAGCCGCAGGCGGCCGGTCCTGGGGGACGTGGGGAGCCCGCAGAACCGCCCCTCGCTCCTCCTCCCCTGCTCCTGCTCCTCTTATACCCTCCTCTCTCCGTCCCCTCTGAGCATCCCTCTGCTCCTCTCCCTCACTCCCGCTCGCCTCTCGCTGCTTTTCCCTTCTCCATTTCTCCTCCCTGAACTTGCCCCTTCGTTCTTCCGTCCTTCCCTGCCCCTCTCACCCACACCCTGAGGAACTGCCTGAACACTGAAGACCCCCAGGCTGTGGCTGGACAGGGGCCAGGACCCCCCCTCTCCAGAGCCGGGCCCTCCCCGCTGCATCGGGGCCCCCCAGAGCGGACAATGCCTCTCCAGATATTCTGCACCATCTCCTTCTCCAGCGAGGAAGGGCCAGGAGACGCCGCGGCCACCGGGGAGGGAGAAGACGGAGCAGACGAGTTCCTGTACGGGCAGGAGGAGGACGAAGAGGAGGAGGAGGAGGAGGACGCGGGGGCAGCCACGGACTTCGTGGCCTTTGCCAGCAGCTGCACCTTGCACGGGCTGAGCCACATCTTCGTGGAGGGCAGCCTGGGCGCCCGGCAGGCGCTCTGGGCGCTGGCCTTCCTGCTCTCCCTCTCCGCCTTCCTCTACCAGGTGGCCGACCGCATCGCCTACTACCTGGAGTACCACCACGTCACGCTGCTCAGCGAGGAGGAGAGCCCCGAGATGACCTTCCCCGCCGTCACCTTCTGCAACATCAACCGCGTGCGGGTCTCGCAGCTCAGCCGCGAGGATCTGCTCTACCTGGCCCCGCTGGTCGACTACGAGCCCGGCACGGAGCTGGGCTTCGCCCCGGCCCGGCCCGGCCCCTGGGAGGAGGGGGGGGAGGAGGAGGAGGACGAACCCCTCAATCTGTTGGGGTTTTTTAACCGCACTTGCCACCAGCTGGAGGACATGCTGCTGAGCTGCCGCTACCGCGGCCAGCGCTGCGGCCCCGCCGACTTCGCGCCGGTGAGTAGCCCCGGGGCGGCCCCGCGGCTCCGGCAGGCACCGTGTGGGACCGGGCACGGCAGGGGATGCTGCCCTTGGAGCACCGTGTGGGACCGGGCACGGCAGGGGATGCTGCCCTTGGAGCTGATATTTCAGCCCCGCCCTGGAGCTGGGATGGCTCTGGGACACAGAGAGCGGCCCCAGGGCACCCCTGTCCCGGTGGCATCGCTGCCCGTGGGGCACCGTGTGGTCTGAGCCCGCTGCCCTCACGTGCCCCACACTGCAGTTGAGGCGAGAGCTGGAAGGGCTGAGGAAGGACAGGGGGATCCGGAATCCTGTCCATCCCTGTCCCCTGCAGGGATGGAGGAGGGTTTGGAGGAGGCGCCGGTGCAGGTGGAGGGCTGAGTGTCTCACCCCGGGGAGCCAGGGCAGTCCTGGGCTCTGTGGGGCTGAGGGGCTGCAGATCTGCTGTGTCCCCTCAGGGTCCATCCCTGAGCCTGGGTGGAATGTCTCTTCCTCCACCTGGGCTAAGACAGGCAGTTCCAACACCAAGAGGTCCCGTGGCTCAGGAGCCTGGGCTGGACTGTGCCCAGGCTGGGCATGGCTGTGTCCTGGGGCTGGTGACGCCCTCCTGGCTCCGTGCTGTGGCTCCATGGAGGAGCCTCAGCCTCAGCCCCCTGTCCTGTCCCACAGGTCTTCACCCGCTACGGGAAGTGCTACACCTTCAACGCAGGGCAGGACGGGAAGCCCCGGCTCATCACCATGAAGGGGGGCACTGGCAACGGCCTGGAGATCATGCTGGACATTCAGCAGGACGAGTATCTGCCAGTGTGGGGGGAAACAGGTAACCCACAGCCCCAGCAGGTCACCTGGGGTGCTCCCCAGCCCCTTCCCGGCTCCCCAGCCCACAGGTCCACGTCCCTGAGGCTGCCTCCTCTTCCCTCCTTCCATTTCTCACCACCACAGGTCCTTTCTTTCCCTCTCCCTTTCCCTCCTTGTCTTTGCTCTTCGCCATGGCAACTCCCCATGGTTTAGACACTCAGTCATCCCTTGTTTATAAATAGAGGCAAACACCTCCCTGCCACACTCCTGGCGAGGAGCAGGACGGTCAGGGGCGGAGGGGGCAAGGACGTGGTGCAGCAAACAGGTGGACAGATGGATGGACACATGGGGGAATGAACTGGCCCAGGGAGAGTGAGGGAGGCAGAAGTTTTGGTGCCTTTCAGTGCCCAGCTCATCCCGCCCTCTCTCCACCGCAGACGAGACCTCGTTTGAAGCCGGGATCAAGGTGCAGATCCACAGCCAGGACGAGCCCCCCCTGATCGACCAGCTGGGCTTCGGGGTGGCCCCTGGCTTCCAGACCTTCGTGTCCTGCCAGGAGCAGCGGGTAGGGCCTGGGGGGGTCTGGGGTTCTCCCTCCTGAGGTGGAGCCTCCTCCCCGTGTCCCCTGTTGGGTGGAGAGGGGACCCAGCCCTGGGGTCTGACGCCAAGAGGGTCATCCCCTCCCCACCTTGGAGGCCTGGGGGGCTTCTCTCCTCACTCCTGGCTTCTGCCCCCCCTCCAGCTCATCTACCTTCCCCCTCCCTGGGGCGACTGCAAGGCCGTGGCGGGCGACCTGGAGTTCTACGACAGCTACAGCATCACGGCGTGTCGGATCGACTGCGAGACGCGGTACCTGGTGGAGAACTGCAACTGCCGCATGGTCCACATGCCAGGTGAGCCCCCCACCAGGGCCACTCCCGCCGGCTCAGCCCGCCGGGGGTGCCCCCAGCCTGGAAAACCCGCTCTGTGTCCCCGCAGGAGACGCCCCTTATTGCACCCCGGAGCAGTACAAGGAGTGCGCCGACCCCGCCCTAGGTGAGGCTGCCCGGCCCCGCACGCGGAGCTGCGGGTGTTGGGTGTCCCCAGCTCTCCACGGCCCTCTCTCCCTGCCCAGATTTCCTGGTGGAGAAGGACAACGAGTACTGCATCTGCGAGATGCCCTGCAACATGACCCGCTACGGCAAAGAGCTCTCCATGGTCAAGATCCCCAGCAAGGCCTCGGCCAAGTACCTGGCCAAGAAGTACAACAAGTCGGAGCAGTACATCGGGTAACGCGCCGTGGCCGTGGCAGAGGGGTGGCATCTGCTGCCTCCACCCCGAGCCTCAGCCCGGTGCCACTTGTGTCCTGCACAGGGAGAACATCCTGGTGCTGGACATCTTCTTCGAAGCCCTGAACTACGAGACGATCGAGCAGAAGAAGGCCTACGAGGTGGCGGGTCTGCTGGGTGAGTGCTGGGGGCTGTGTGGCAGCCCCTGGACAGTGGTCCCCAACGAGGTGGCCTCACGTTGGCCCCCTCACCACGGCCCTGTCCCTCGAGGCACTGGGGTGAGCCGATGGTGTGGATGCGGAGCCGCTGCCACAGCCGGGCACCGTGACGAGTTCTGCCCTTTCCCCGCTCCCTCTGCCACCAGGATTGAGGCCCAGGAGCCACCCTGATGGCTTCCCTCTCCTCCACAGGTGACATTGGGGGGCAGATGGGGCTGTTCATCGGGGCCAGCATCCTCACAGTGCTGGAGCTGTTCGACTACGCCTACGAGGTGAGCGTCTCCCCCACACCCCGCCCTGCCGAGGGGCCCGGATCGCCCCGGGGCACCGTGTGGGACGTGGGGAAGGGCCACCCCCGAGCCTCAGGGTGCTGAAAAGTGTCCCTGGCAGGTGATCAAGCACCGGTTGTGCCGGAGGGGCAAGTGCCGCAAGAACCACAAGAGGAACAACACGGACAAGGGCGTCGCGCTGAGCATGGACGACGTGAAGCGCCACGTGAGTGCCGGGGACGCCACGGGGGTTGCTGGGCCCGCCTGCGGCTCGGGGGCTGCCTGGGAGGTGCCCCTGGGTGAGGGGGTCACCGTTTTGGGGCTGCCCGTGGGATGGGAGGTGCCAGCTCGAGGAGCACTTGGGAAAGGAGCAGAGGGACCGGGGGTGCTGTGGGGGGCTGGGACTCGGTCTGTGCGGGGATCTGGGTGAAAGCAGCGGCCCCAACGTCCCGTTTGACCCGCAGAACCCCTGCGAAAGCATACGGGGGCACCCGGCAGGGATGACGTACGCAGCCAACATCCTACCTCACCACCCGGCCCGGGGCACCTTCGAGGACTTCACCTGCTAACCGACGTCTGGATGTACAGCCTGAGCTACCAAAGCCCCTGCGCGGGCAGAGCTGCCCTCCCCCCTGCCAGCGCCAGCGGAGGGACACACCACGGGGGCCCCCCGCTCCTCGGCACGGAGGGACGCGGACACGAGCGGCGGCCTCGCATTTCGGGGCAGGCAGCCGGGATTGGGGCGATGCCCCCACGCCCGCCCCGCTCGCTCAGAGACTCCAGGGCGCTCCGGCCCGGCGGGGACGACACACACGCACAGGGGCCGGGGCAGGGCCAGCCCCGGCTCCCCCCACCCCAAACCCCCCGGCTCCCCTCGGCCTTTTTAACGACGAACCCAGAAGCCAAGAAGAAGCAGCCGTTGGGCCGCAGTCTCCATCCACAGCCCTGTCCGTCTGTCCATCCTCGTCTCCATGCCCAGCCCACTCCCAGCGCCTCGCCCGCCGCTTGCCGGGACCCCCCCATCATTCTCGGATCGTGGAGGGGCCCCAGGGCGTGGTTGGGGGTCCCTGGAGAGCCTCAGTGTCCCCTGGGACCGTCACCCCCCTGGGCTCTCCCGGTCGCTCCACGAGCACCACAACGCGGCATCTCCCCCTGTCCAGAACATCTTCCTCGGCCCCCGACAGCAGCTGCCCCCCCGGGGATTTTTGGGGTGCCAGGGGCCTCGCTGCCCCTCCCTGGCATGCACAGCCCTGCCCTGGGGGGGTCTGGGGGTCTCTGCTTCCCCCCACAGCGCCCTCATTCACTCCAGGGTCTGCATTCGGCCCCCCCAGCCCCCACACACCAGGCCAGAGCCCTCGCCGGGCCCAAGTGCTTCTTATCTTTAAGAGCTTTTTTTGCAATAAGTCTTTTTTAGTAATTTTTTTTTTTTTTTTATTTCCAAGCTGCCGTTTTAGGTTTTTATTCCTGCCATATTTTTTTTTATTTTTTTTTTTTAATTCTTATGCTTTGCTTCCTGACCAAAATTGGGGAACTGGGGGTCAGTCCTTTCTGCCTGTCCAGCGATCGCCCAAAGACGACGGGGTCGGCCACATCCATAAATTTTCTTATGGATTTTTCCTAGTGTTTCCTAGTGGCATTTCGTTTATTTATTTGCTTTCCCTCCTTCCCTTCTTTCCCCTTCAAGCTGTTAAAGATGGGGCTGGGGTTTGACCTTGAGGCTCACCTGTTGAAGAAAACGCTCTTTTGTTATTATGCCATCCGCATTTTATATTTCTTATATATAATATATATGACTATATATATATGTGTACATATATATATAAATATCTATATGCATCATGCCAGTGTAGATACCCATCCAAGTAGCGTTTAGGCCTTGTTCTTGTGCCATTTTCTTCCTAATTTTTTTTTTTCTTTTTTCTTTTCTGTTACTGATCTCTGAATGCCTTCAAGTGTAAAAAAAGTGTGGAATTCTCTCCGGTATCTGTACTATGTACACACATTTTCATAGGAAGCACAATAAGATGACAGATGCATTGTACATCAATACCTGCTACTCTTAACGACGATATAAAGAATGATATAAATGACATAAACCCCACCAGGCCGAGCCTTTCTCTTGCTGAGCTGCTGGAAGAGCTCCCCGAGGAGGGACAGGAGGGGGGACAGGCTCATCCCAGGACATTCCTGGAGGCAGAGCTGGAATCCTGGAGCCAAGAGAAAATGAGAGGGGAGAATAAAGCTTTGGGTTGGGCTTCAGTGCCCGAGGGATCTGGGCACCTCAGGGAGCTCCAGCACTGCCCCAGGTCCCTCCAGGGTTTGGGACCCACCTGGGATGCAGCAGCTGGAATTTCACCTGGGCTGACCCCGGCAGAGCACAGACCCCCACACAAACACGCTGAGCGGCCTCAAAATCCCCAGCTGCAAAGAGCAAAAGTAACAACAGACCAGTCCAAACCCCGAGGCATCCAAAAAGGCCCCGAGGACCCCGTGGAGACCGAACAATAGGCAGTGGGAGTGGGCAGGGAACACCGAAATGCCAAGCCCTGCCAGTCCCTTGGCTCTGCTCTCGTCCCTGTGGCTCCTGGAAATGGCAGAGGAGTGTTTTGCATTTCAAGTAGGACAGACCCCACTCTGATCCTTCCTGGGTTAATGCTGACTGGGTTTGTGTCCCTCCTCCCTCTGAGCACGGGGGAGTGCTCCAGGGAATGGGAACTTAATGTTAATACTTGCAGAAAGTGGCCTTTCCCTTTCAGATGGAGCTGTCTGTGGGACTCCTGAGGGAGACGGGAATGGGGGAGACGGGCATGGGGGAGACGGGCATGGGGGAGAGGGGAATCCTTCTCCTGGTGCTGCGTTTGTGCCTCCTTAAGCTCGATCCTGAAATGCTGAGAGATGTCACTGCCATGTCTGGACGTTGGAGCCCTTCATCCCTCAGGGACAGACCCTGAGCCCCCAATCCCACCCCTCCCAGAGCCTGTTCCCATCCCAAATCCCTCTGGGTCCTGTGCGCCCAAACTCAAACCCTTGTTCCCACCCCAAAACCTCCAGGACCAACACACCCCCAATTCCCACCCCTCAGAGATCCTGTTCCCATCCCAAATCCCGCAAGACCAATCCCTCCTATCCCCCAATCCCCCCCAAATTCCCAATCCCCCCCTTCCAAACTCCGCTCGGTCCTCCCGCGCGGTCCTCCCGCCGCCAGGGGGCGCCGGCGGCTGCGGCGGGAGGGCGAGGGGCGGTCCCTCCCCGCGTGCCCGCGCGCGGGGCCGCTTCCGGCCGCGCTCCCTTTGTGCGGGACAAGATGGCGGCGCGGGCCGGGTTCCAGGCGGGGCCCGCGGGCGGCGGCGGCTCCGGAGCCGCCCCGGGGGCCGCGCTGGGCCCGGGCGCGCCGGGCGGGGCGGTTCGCATGGGCCCGGCGCCGGGGCAGGGCCTGTACCGCTCGCCGCTGCCCGGAGCCGCCTACCCGGTGAGGCGGGGGCGGCGCGGGGCGGGGCGCGGGGCCGGGCGCGGCGGGCGCTGACCGGGTGTGTTCTCTCCGCAGCGCCCCGGGATGTTACCGGGAGGCCGCCTGGCGCCGCAGGGCCCGGCCATGGGCCCGCCGGGCTACGGCGGGAGCCCCGCGGTGCGGCCCGCGCTGGCGCAGGCCGGGCTGGACCAGGCCCGCAAGCGGCCGGCGCCGCAGCAGCTCCAGCAGGTGCAGCCGCAGGCGGTGCCCAACCGCAACCACAAGTAAGGGACGGGGGGAAACGGGGCGTGCGAGGACATCCCGGAGCGCTGGGAGCATCCCCCGGGCAGCGGGAGCATCCCGGGGCAGCCGGGATATCCCGGGACATCCCGGAGCGTTCTTGGGACAGAGGGGACAGATGTGGGCACAGGGGACATCCCGAGGCGTCCCCGGGCAGCAGGGACATCCCTGGGCATCCTGGGACCGTCCTGGGGCAGTGGGGACATCCTGGGGCTACTGGGTACTTGACCCCAGGCGTGATGGGCATCCCTGGGCATCGGATGTAACTCCCTTCCCAAGGGATGTAACCCCCTTCCCAAGGGATGTAACTCCCTTCCCAAGGGATGTAACCCCCTTCCCAAGGGATGTAACCCCCTTCCCAAGGGATGTAACCCCCTTCCCAAGGGATGTAACTCCCTTTCCAAGTGCACAGAGGGATGAAGAATGCAGTTAGTGCTGCAGGGTAACTGGAGGGCCCCTGGTCAGTCAGCGCTGTGCAGGTTTGGGAATTCCAGATCCATTCCCGTTTTCCCACCTGTTCGTGCCTCTTTCCCCCCTGGCAGCGCCAAGAAGAAGAAGATGGCAGACAAAATCCTCCCTCAGCGGGTGAGTGGGACCCAGGCGGAGAGGGCAGGGGAGCCTGGGGCACTCTGGGGAGCTGCTTGATGGGAATTTCCACCCTTGCCTGGCTGCAGATCCGGGAGCTGGTGCCCGAATCCCAGGCCTACATGGACCTGCTGGCCTTCGAGAGGAAGCTGGACCAGACCATCATGAGGAAGCGCCTGGACATCCAGGAGGCCCTGAAACGCCCCATCAAGGTAGAGGGGAGTGCAGGGCAAACACCCAGGGCAGCAGGAGGGCTCTGAAGGGTCGTGTCCTGCCTGGAATGTCGGGAATGTGCGCTCTGGACACAGCCAGGGAGCGGGACCGGCCCTGCCTGCCCAGGGAGAGGGGGGGATGCGAGGCAGGCAGAAACACTTGAGCTGAGTTTTAGCGAGGCCTGAGCAGGAGAATGAGCCCTGGGAAGGGAGGGTTCGCGCTGATCCCGATGTTTTTCCTCCCGCAGCAAAAGCGGAAGCTGCGCATTTTTATCTCCAACACCTTCAACCCGGCCAAGTCGGACGCGGAGGACGGCGAGGGGACCGTGGCCTCCTGGGAGCTCCGGGTGGAAGGAAGGCTGCTGGAAGATGTAAGTGGGGGAACACCCAACCTCTGAGGAGTCAGTGGGGCTGGAATTGGCGCTGAAAACCAGTTTCTGAGTGTCTGGGGGCGCAGCTGGGGCTTGATGTTCCTCCTTCGTCTCTGTTTCCCCAAGGAGTCTGGTGGTGACGAGACCGAGAGCCCAGCCTGGAGACCGATGGGTATCCCCACGGCAGGACACGAGTGGTCCAAAGTTCTTAGAGCTGTGGGAATCACTGGTGAGAGCAGCTCAGTGGCACTCGTGTCCCCAAAGCTGTGAGAAGCAGGGCCCTGGCATTGTACGTACCCGCTGAGGGGTCTGACTCCCACCAGCTCATCTTTTAACTCCAGCCTCTCCCTTTTTTTTTCTGACTTGGAGACTTGATTTTTTTCGAGCACATGTTGGTGGATTCAGGTGTTGAGGACTCACAGGAGCTGTCGTGCACGGTGGCTGTGCTTGAGTGCTGAGACCTGCTGTGCTAACCCTCTTCCTCCCTGTGTTGCTTGCAGTCTGCTCTGTCCAAATACGATGCCACCAAGCAGAAAAGAAAGTTCTCGTCCTTCTTTAAATCTCTGGTCATTGAGCTTGATAAAGACCTGTATGGCCCTGACAATCACCTAGTAGAGGTGAGCTGCTTTTTGCTGTGTTACCTCTGGAAGTGGGTTTGGTGTTTCAGCCGGTGGGGTTTGTGTAGCACCTGTGACCTGGGAGGTGGGGGATTCCTGGGAGCCAGGAGCTCTTTGGATTCTCACTTGAGCTTTTCCTCTCACCTGCTGAGGGTCTGAATAAACGTTATTAACTCTCGTTTCAAGCTGTAAGAGGGAAGAGTCTGAGCTCTCTCTGGGTTGGGTGTGGATTAATGGCCAAGCTTTTGGGCGCCCAGCAGCAGGAGCAGAGGGGGTGCAGAGGGAGGCACCACGTGTGGGGGGTGTTTCTAAGCTCCCTCTCCCGTTGCAGTGGCACAGGACTGCCACGACTCAGGAGACAGACGGCTTCCAGGTGAAGAGGCCGGGGGACGTGAACGTGCGCTGCACCGTCCTGCTGATGCTGGATTACCAGGTGAGACAGGGGGAGAAAATTCCTCCCTGGAAGCCTGGGGAGGCCCTGAGGTTGCCCAGAGGAGCTGTGGCTGGAAGTGTTGGAGCAGCCTGGTGTAGCGGAAGGTGCCAAGGGTGGGACTGGGTGGGCTTTAAGGTCCCTTCCGACCCAAACCGTTCCATGATCCCATGCTGGGAGCAGCAGTGCTGGGGCTGCACCAGTGCCTGGCACCACCTCACCCCTCCCCACTGTGCTCCTTGTGCAGCCTCCCCAGTTCAAGCTGGACCCCCGCCTGGCTCGGCTGCTGGGGATCCACACGCAGACCCGGCCCGTCATCATCCAGGCCCTCTGGCAGTACATCAAGACCCACAAGCTGCAGGACCCCCACGAGCGGGAGTTCGTCATCTGTGACAAGTACCTGCAGCAGGTGAGGGAGCCCTGGAGCAGCCCCTGGCCCAGCTGCCCTGTGGTGGCTGCCCCGAGGTCCCCCCAGCCCTCCCTCACCGCCCGTCTGTGCCGCAGATATTTGAGTCCCAGCGCATGAAGTTCTCCGAGATCCCACAGAGGCTCCACGCGCTGCTGATGCCCCCAGAACCCATCATCATCAACCACGTGATCAGGTGAGGCTGCTCCACGGGAATTCCCGTGCCCAGGAAGGAGAGGGGGAAGGGCTGGGTGGGGAAGGACCACAGGAGGACGATGTGACATGGTCCCACATTACCTGTCACCTGTTTGTTACCACATCCTCTCTTACCACATCCCTCTTTTCCAAAGGCTTTCCCACATCCCTGCTGTCCTTTGCCACGGACAGAGACCAGCTTGGAGCAATCACTCCTAGTACTGCAAAGCCACCAGTGGAGCTTTGCTGCTGCTGGGACTGAGGCTGACGCTGGCAGGGCTTGTCCCTGTCCCTGCCTGCAGCCCATGTGCTGCAGCATCCCAGAGGAGCTGCGTTTGCTCCTTGAGCTGCTTCCATTTGAGCTGCTCCCAGATTTTGCCCTTTTTTCTTGACCTACAAACTGATTTTGGCTTCTTCCTCGAGCTACTGCCTGATTTTGCCTTCTCGTGGATGTCCCCAGTGTTGACCCAAATGACCAGAAGAAAACGGCCTGCTATGACATTGATGTGGAGGTGGATGACACCTTGAAAACCCAGATGAATTCCTTTCTGCTCTCCACAGCCAGTCAACAGGAAATTGCTGCTCTGGATAACAAGGTAGGAAAAAGCTTCTTCAGGTCTGCTGTCCTTGTAGCTGGGCAGGGATGTGTGTCTGCAGCAGGTGAACCTGGACAGGACAGGAGTGCTTGGAAGCTGGAGTGGGGTGAGCTGTGCTCACAAACGGGTGGCTGCACCTGGAAGGGCAATTTCTAAAGCAGAAGGGTGCGTGGGAAAATTGGGTAACATTTAGGGCAGGAAATTGGGAACTGAAGGTCCTGGCAGGTGTAAGCCAGCCAGGGAGCGCACAAATTCGCCTTCCTGTGTTGTGCCTCTTGATGTTTGTGACCTTTTCCCCCGTTCAGCAGTTCCACTCCTGTGTTTGTCTCCTTCAGATCCACGAAACAATCGAGACCATCAACCAGCTGAAGACGCAGCGCGAGTTCATGCTGAGCTTCGCCCGAGACCCTCAGGGCTTCATCAACGACTGGCTCCAGTCCCAGTGCCGGGACTTGAAGGTAAGAGCCTTGCCTTGTGTGGAAGGTGGATCCAGTCACACGCTTCCCTCATTACAGCGAGCTCCCACAGAGAGAAGGAGGCAATTTCCTGCTCGGAAAGCGCGGCTGGAATTGGAGTCAAGCACAAGAACGTGACCTGAGAGTGCTCTGAGAGGAAAGGGGAGGGTTTGCTCAGTGCAGCCAGAGCTTTTGCGCTCCCTGAGCTGCTGATGTGTCCTTTGCGCTCTGCAGACAATGACTGATGTCGTTGGGAACCCCGAGGAGGAGCGGAGAGCCGAGTTCTACTTCCAGCCGTGGGCGCAGGAAGCCGTGTGCCGGTACTTCTACTCCAAGGTGAGTGTCCCCCAGCAGGGGCCCCTCTCCCTGCCCGTCACTCCTCAGGGCACCCTCTCCCAGGGGGAGGGTCCCAGTTGGAGCTCAGCCTGTCCCAGCTGGGTGCTGTGGTGCTGCCCCAGCCCGGTGTGTCACAGCCACAACTCTGCTTCCCCTGCAGGTGCAGCAGAGACGGCAGGAACTGGAGCAGGCCCTGGGCATCCGGAACACATAGGCTGCCCTGCTCCTCCCCAGCACCTCGGCTGTTTGTGGAGGCAGAGCTCGCTGTTCCAGCTCGCAGGATCCCACTCCAGCAGCCAGGCCCCTGTTACTCCTCCTGGCATTGTCCCTGCTGGGGCAAGTCCAGGACAGCTGGGCTCTCGTGGGGTGTGACGAGCAGACAGGCTCCACCGAGCACACATTTCTACCTGGTTCTCTCCCTGACTGTTGCCTTGCCAGCCCCAAGGCTTCCTCGAGCCTCCCCGTGACTCCGCACTGCCCGTAGCGTCCCCCGTAGCCAGAGTGACCTGGAGCCTCCTCCCAGCCCCTTCCCCCCCAGCCAGCACCTGGCTGTGGCACTCTGGGAGCCTGGCTCTGCTCTAAGGTGTGGCTGGGCTCTGCCCTGCCACGTTTTACAGCCCGTGCCAGGCGCTGTCGTGGGCAGGACGCCGTGAGCTGACATACCTCCCTGCCCTGACCCCCTCCTCGGAGGGTGCTGCTGCACTGGGCTGCCCCACAGCTCACTCCCCTGCCTGAGGAAGTTAGTGGACTGTGTAGAGAATTTGCTTCTTCCCCTCTCCCTTTTTTTCCCCTGTCTGTTCCCTTCGCGTTCTGTGACGGACTGTCCTGGGCTGGGATCACAGGGAGGCGAGGTGTTGGCTTCCTGCAGGGATTTGGAAGCTTGGAGTGATGCAGCTCCTCTGCCCTTCAGACACCTACACCTGGGTTCCAGCGTGGCTGCTTGTTTTCCCTGGAGCAGGGAGAGGGGATGCAGCAGCTGCCTGGAACGGTGCCTGGACACAGTGTTGTAGGCTCATTCCTTTGGCACAGCTGTCCTGTGTCACTTGCTGTGGGGACCAGAGGCTCCTTCGTGTGGATGCGAGGGTGGCACAGGACAGTCCTTGGGAATGGACATTTTTTCCAAGCATATGTGAGTTAGCAGGTGTTTCCGTGCCGAAGCTCCTGTGGTTTTTAGTCAAGTTTTAGGTCATGGGGCTGCCATAGGGCCCAGCATGGTTCAGGAATGTACAAATAGATTTTTCTCTACTGTGGGGAGTAGCAGCCCCGATGCCTCTTCATGGAACGAATTACTGGTGGTAATTCATTAGGAGCGTGAAATGGCTCCTCTTCACCCCAATCCCGGTGTTCCTGCTCGGGACTACAATGCAAATGGACTCGAAAGTCGGTCTGACTCTTGGAAGAGCTGCAGGATCACGTTTCTGCCGAGCCCTCCCAGCCCACCCCAGCGGTGTGGCTGAGGGGGCTGCCGTGAGCTGGAGCGCCTGGGTGGCCCTACTGCTCCCTGTGTCTGTGTAACTACATGTCTGTGAGTAATAGACTCTCGACTTGCCCTCTCCTTTGCCCTTCTGAAGCGCTCCCCTGTGGTACTGGGGTGAAGGTCTTGGTGCTGGAGAAGCAGCCCCTGACTCCTCAGGGTACCCCCACGTGAGGGATGCCGAGTCCTGCGTAGGCGAACGTAGCTGTTGCAGAGTAACTGCTTTTCTTAACTGAATATTACGGTTTTTTTCCATGGACCAAATCTCTTTTTTTTTTTTTTTTTTGTACTGTATCCTTGTAGGCGTCACCCAGTTTTAATAAAAGACTCCTGTGAAGGAAGCTCTCCTCCTCCTTCGTGCTGACAGCTCGCTCCCTTCCCAGGGGGGATGACACTCCAGGGAAGGGACAGGATTATCTCCACTTTCTTCCTTTTTTTCTTCTTGTCAAAGCCAGCAGGGTTAAGTGACTGGAGAGAAAATGTTCTTCATATTTTGGCCTTTTATAGCGAGCCCTCCATAGAGGGATCTCCCGGCTTGCACACTCTGTTAAGCACTTTGCAGAGTGCTTTTGTGGTAAACAAAGTAACCTGAGCAAAACTGGAAATCCAGTGGCCAAGGCAAATAAATCCTGCACTGCCCAGTGCCTGCTCTGCTGGGCTGGGGCAGCCTCTTACAGGCCCCGGGGGAGGCAAGGCAGAGTTTGGAGGAAAGTGTATTAAAGTTTACATGCAAGGGTTTAAAATTATGCAGAAGGAGAATTCTTCTCTTTGCCCTGGTTGTTTATAGAGCTGAAAATGCCTCGCAGCGAACCTGGGAGCCCCTGGGGCAAGAGAAGGCTCCTCTCTTGAGGAAAACGCTGCTGCCTCAGGCTGTGTTTGAGGCAGGAGCCAAGTCCTGGGGCTGCAGCAGGTGGTGCTTACTCCTTACTTGGGGGGAAAATGGCACTTTTAGGGAGACAGAATGAAGTGCTTTTATGCAGAAAACGAGGGAGAGGCTTGGCAGGCCCAACTCGAAGACCTCCTCAGGGTCTGCAGCTCCTCCCAAGGGGCAGCTCCCATCTCTGCCCTCTGTGAGCAGGGACAGGACCCAGGGAAGGGCTGGAGCCGTGTCATGGGGGGCTAGGGGTATCTCAGGGAAGGGTTCTTCCCCCAGAGGGTGGCCGGGCACTGACCAGGCTCCCCAGGGCAGTGGGCACGGCCCCAAGGCTGCCAGAGCTCCAGGAGCGTTGGGACAGGGTGGGATTGTTGTGGCGTCCGTGCAGGGCCAGGACTGGATTCTGATCCTTGCGGGTCCCTTCCAAGTCGGGATATTCCATGAGTCTGGCTCTGCAGGGACCTGCCCCGCTCCCGGGCCGCACTTTGCCCCCCGCCGCAGCCCCCGGAGCGGAGCCCCGGCCATGCCCGGTGCCCCCGGGGCGAGGCGGGGCTGGGGGCGGGCCGGGGCCGCCCCTGCTCCGGGCGCCCTTGAAATAGCGGCGGCGGGTCGGGCTCCCTGAGCGCCTCGTCCCCGGCACCATGGGCGGCAAGAAGGTTTGCGTCGTGGGCTCCGGCAACTGGTGAGCGCCGGGCACGCGTGTCCCCTCGCCCTCCTCCCCGCTGCTCTCCCCCCGCGGTGACCCTGGGCTGGCCGCGGTGCCCTGGGCTCTCCCCCCACGGTGCCCACGGCCCCGCTGTGCCCACGCAGGGGCTCGGCCATCGCCAAGATCGCCGGCGCCAACGCGGCGAGGCTGAGCGGCTTCGAGAGCCAGGTGAACATGTGGGTGCTGCAGGAGGAGGTGGGCGGCCGGCAGCTCACCGACATCATCAACACCGAGCACGAGAACGTCAAGTACCTGCCCGGCCGCAAGCTGCCCCCCAACGTGGTGAGTTGGGGGGCAGAGCTGGGCTCTGGGCAGAGCTGATGGCTCTAGGGGGGCCGCTGGGGTGTGAGGGAGGGGATGCACCGGGGTTGTGGGGGGTTCTCCTACACCCTCCTGCTGACCTTGATCCGCGTTTGGATGAGCTGCAGCCCTGGCTGCTCTCGCTGCCCACCTTTGTCCCCCCCTCTGGCATCCCACGGGCTTGGCTGCAGGCCATGTGGCTGCCTCCGAGCTGGCACCGTCCCGCTCTGCCTCAGCCCTTCTCCAGCCCCTGGGCCCTGCCAGCCCTGGCGGGGACCTCGGTGCGGTGGCATCGGGCCCGTCCTTACCTGCCCAGTCCCCGACAAACGGCCACAACTCCCCGTGCAGGTGGCAGAGCCAGACCTGCTCAAAGCCTGCGCGGGGGCCGACGTGCTCCTGTTCGTGGTGCCCCACCAGTTCATCGGCCAAGTGTGTGACCAGCTCAAGGGCCACGTGAAGAAAGAGGCCGTGGGGATGTCGCTCATCAAGGTGGGAGCAGGAGCAGCGCTCGCCGGGCCGAGGCGGGGAGGAGCTGGAAGCAGCCTGGCTCGGAGGGGCTGCCATGGGAATCCTGGGATTTCGGAGCAGAAACGGGCTCTGGGGTGATGGGGATTGTGGGGAGAGTGGAGGCAGAGTCTTCGTGGGGCTTTGGAGGTGCTGGTGGGGAAGGGTGAGAGCATGTGGGGGGTGTGTGAGGAGCAGGGCTCAGCTCAGCCTGTCGGGATCACAGTCGGAGCATCACAGCACAGGGGATGGTGGGATTTGTGGCCAGGAGGGGCTCATGTCTCGTTGAGAAGGCGGTGATCACTCAAAGGTTGGACTCAGTGATCTCAGGGGTCTTTTCCAGCCTCGTTGATTCTGTGGTTCTGTGACCTCTGTCCCCGGTTGTCGCGCAGGGCGTGGATGAAGGGCCGGATGGGCTGAGGCTGATCTCGGACATCATCCACGAGAAGCTGGGAATAGAGATGACCGTGCTCATGGGGGCCAATCTTGCCAATGAGGTGGCAGATGACAAGTTCTGTGAAACCACCATTGGTAAGGAGCCCTTGTCCCTCCTCGTTGTCCCAGCCTTCCTTTGGGATGAGGGGCAAAGTGGGGAGCACAGAGCAGCTCAAACTGCTGGCCCTTGTCCTTGGGAAGGCAGGAGACTCCCTAGGAGCTGGCTGAGCTCATTCCCAGGGTTTATGATGGGATCACTCATTTCATTAACGACATGCCTGGCAGAAGTTAAAGGGGTGGGCACCATGAGGCACTTGAGGAATAAGTTCCATCCTTCATCTCCTTGGGCTTCACGGGATGCTCACCTGGATCTCACAGTATTGTCAGCCAGGGCTGCTTGGAAGTTGAGGCTGTTCCAACACCCTCCACACTGTTGGGAACCGTGCACGGAGCCAAAACCAACACAACAGCTTGCTGGGTTAGAGGTTGTGGGATTCAAAGTGTCTGTGTTTTGTTAAACAACAGCCAACACGCTGGGCAGGAGGCTGGGGAGGTGGAACAGAGCCCACAGTGCCTGTGAACACATGGGACCCCCGCAGCAACGGGGAGGCCAGCAGGCTCCAACCCCAAATTTGCAGCCTTTGAAGATGCCTCTAACCTACTGGGCAGGTCATTTCTGTCTTGCTCGATGAAGCAGCAGGGATTGTCCCTGTCCCCTGGGAGTGCCAAGGCTGAAAGTTTCTTATCTGTCAGGCCATGTGTGCCTGGCTCTTTGTGGACCTGCAAATGTTTAGCCACGTCCATCGGTTGGGCAATAGGTTCCTCTCCCTGGATGAGCTGCAGGGGAGAGCACGGTCCTACCTCAGGGTCTCCCCATCTTCCTCCTCCTCCTCCTCCTCCTCCCTTTGTCTCCTCAGGCTGCAAGAACATGAAGCACGGGCAGATGCTGAAGGAGCTGATGCAGACACCCAACTTCCGTGTGTCGGTGGTGCAGGAAGCCGACACCGTGGAGATCTGCGGAGCTCTCAAGGTGGGTGTGCAGGGCTCGGTCAGCAGAGCCTGGGGGTCTGCAGGGCTCTGCAGGGAGCTCTGGGGAGGAGGCTGACGGGTGACTGGACCCCACTGTGGCTCGCTGAGACCTCTGAGGCAAAGGCCAGACTTTGGAGGGACCTGTCCCGTTCAGCTGCCTGGAGGGATGATGGGCACTGGCACGGGCAGGAGCCTGTGCTCAGGACCCCACACGAGACGAATCGTGGGCGCAGCAAAGCCCTGAGCTCCGCTGGGAACAGATCCCTCCACGTCCCCGTGGTTTTCCAGAACGTGGTGGCCGTGGGAGCTGGTTTCTGCGACGGGCTGGGCTACGGCGACAACACCAAGGCTGCCGTGATCCGCCTGGGGCTGATGGAGATGATTGGCTTTGCCAAACTCTTCTGCAAGGGCCCCGTCTCCCCCTCCACCTTCCTGGAGAGCTGTGGGGTCGCCGACCTCATCACCACCTGCTACGGGGGCCGCAACCGCAAGGTGGCCGAGGCTTTCACCAAGACAGGGAAGGTGAGCGGGGCTGGGAGTTGAAGGGGGGGGTGTGGAGCTGTGCCAGGGGAGGGTTAGGCTGGATATCAGGAAAAGGTTCTTCCCCAGAGGGTGGTGGGGCACTGAACAGGCTCCCCAGGGCAGTGGGCACGGCCCCAGGGCTGCCAGAGCTCCGGGAGGGTTTGGACAACGCCCTGAGGGACAGGGTGGGATTGTGGGGGTTGCAGGCCCAGCTCCTCACTGCTGGGTTGTTTCAGTCCATCGAGCAGCTGGAGCAGGAGATGCTGAATGGGCAGAAGGTGCAGGGCCCCCCGACGTCTGCTGAGCTGCATCGGATCCTCAAGAGCAAGAACGCAGTGGAGAAGTGAGTGCTGGGATCTGCTGGGGGTGGGATGAGGCTGCAACTCTGTCCTGCAGCAGCAGGGGAAACCCCCCCCTTGGTGTCTCAGCTGTTCAGGGCAATCCGTGCACTGCCCACATCACACCAGCTGGGCAGGATTCCTGCTGGATGGGGCCCAGTGCCACTGTCCCACCTGCTCCTGCTTGTCAGGACAGCAGTCGAGGTGCTCTGACCCTGCCAGCTGCGGTGTCTTTGTCCGTCTGCCCGCAGGTTCCCCCTCTTCACCGCTGTGTATCAGATCTGCTACGAGGGCAGGCCTGTCACTGACTTCATCAAGTGTCTCCAGAACCACCCCGAGCACATGTAAGGTGCTCTGCCTGCCAGGCCACCGGCCCTGCTGAGACGCGCAGAGAGCTCCTGCCCGCGGCACCCCCATCTGCTGCCACGGCTTCCTACGGAGTCCGGCTCTCCTGGGAGCCTCGGCAGGCTGCTGGAAGGGCAGAGGTTCCCCTCCCCAGCCCTGGGCACTGCCAGCCTGAGCCTGGCACAGAGGTACCTGCTGACCTCCCTCTCTCTGTGAAGGGCTCGTTTAGTTTCTGCTGCTCTCTGAGGTCTGCCCTGAGCGGGACGGAGCATCTTCCTCCTTCTACTCCCTCCTGCTGTGATGGATTCAGCTCTGGGAAGGACTCTGTTGGGATTGATACGGGCTGGGAGGACAAACAGTGCCCCAGGTCCTCCCTCTCAGCCCCGTGGGGCCACTCTGGGTGACACCAGCCCTTCCCTGCCTGCTGCTGCTGCTGTTTTTGGCTTCCCTGCCTGGTGGAGAGGGCACAGTCCCCTGCCAGGCTCCACCTGCTGAGCGAAGCCCCTCAGCACTCCCAGAGAGTGCTGAGAATCTTCTTTGTAAGCAGCACCAGCACAGACATGGCCTTCCTTCCACTCTGCCATGTGCTGCTTCCCGAGCCGTCCCCAGCTGCTCCTGCTGCCCCCGTGCTCCAGAGGGACACTTTGGAGCTTGTTTGTTTAGAGCTTTTGCTCTCACAGTTACGCCTGGCCCCTGCCCCAGGGAACTCCCCTGTTGTCACAGGTTTGCCTGGGCTAATTCCATGCCCAGTGACTTCTCTCCCTGTCCCAGTTTGTCCTCTGGGGCTTGGCACTGCAGGGACCAACTGCCCCCAAGCCTTTGTGACCCCTGCCTTGTACCTGCAGAGCCAGGGGGTGGGTACAGGGCACCTGGGTCCTGTTGCTGTTAAATAAATGACCCACAGCCACACTTTGCCCTCTCTGGCTCTCTTCAGCCTGTGCTTCAGCCTTCTCTGTGCTTCCTCGTGTGACTGTCCTGGAGCTGAGGAGCAGATCCCACGCTTTCCCTGCGTGGGGATGCTGCAAACTGCCTGCTGGCACAGGGACAGGAACGGGCACGTGGTCCACGACAGGGACAGGACAGGACTGGGCCTGGGAAACTTGCCCCTTGTCCAGGCAGGTGCCACGTGTCCCTCTGCTCCCCTCGAGCTGGCCGTGTTTGCTCAAGGCCAGCGTGTCCAGCGGTCACTGATCCTGCCTGGGCTGGAATGCTGGGATTCTGGAATGCTGCAGGGCTCCCCGTGCCCTCCATTCCCAGAGCCCTGGGGTCTCTGACAAGCACTGTGCTTTTAAAATGACAGTGAACATGGCGAGGAGAGGGGAGATGCTCTCCCCGTTCTCTCCGACGACGCTGGGCTGGTGCCTGCTGGACGTGCCGAGCGCTCAGAACAGGGCACTGCCCGTTCCCTCCTCGCTCTGCACCCTCCCGTGCTGCCCCAGAAACAGCAAGAATGTCCCTGCAGGTCCCTGTTTATGTCACACAGTGTCCCACTTGCTTTGTCTCAGCAGCGGTTCCAGGATTAAAGTTTGGCCGCGGGGCCGCGGCGGGTCGGGCGTTGAGCCGGGTCCAGAGTCCTCACCTGGGGCCTGCAGGAGCCGGGCCAGGACCCCACTGTGCCCCACACGCTCCGGGCCTCCTCCCCTCCTCTGATGTCTTGGCTTCACACGCCGTGGGGTTTTTATTCATCTCTTCTCAGCTGCTCTGCCCAGCCTCGCCTCGGCCCTGGGTGTCTCTAAAGGTGCCTCGTACCGAGTGACCTTTGCAGGGCTCCGAGCCCTGCGCTCGGCGTCTTGCGAGGGGAATTTAATCTGCTGGCGCCGCACTTGTTTCTGTGCCTTTTATTAGCCACGTTTGCTCACCAGGCGCTCCGCGACCTTTAAATTCAGCGGAGCTGTCGTACGGAGGGAGCTCCGAGGAGTTTAATTGAGCTTGGAGGGAGGATAAAGGAAGTCCAGCGTGTTCCTGCAGGGCTGGCACGACTTGGAGTTCCCTTTGTCTTCGAGTGCTTTCAGGAGCCCGAGTGTTTGGACATGAGGCTCGTGCAGGAAAGGATCCCTGAGCTCTGCTCCCAAACTGCTGTCAGCCCCTGCCTGGAGCTGCGGCAGGATCCAGCAGGGATCTGCGTTTAGCTGGGAAGCTCCTTGGAGGTGGAAATGCTTTGTGCATCCCCCTCATGTGGTTTTCTTTGACTCTGCCAGTGCCAGAGTCCCTGCAGAGTCTCACCTGGGGGGACCAGCACATGGATCTCTTGCTTTCAGACTACCCCACACTGGAGCTGGGAGTTCCTGAGCTATAAAAAGTCTTCCCTTTGCCATTTGGAATTATGTTCTGCAGGCTCAGCACATCCCGGCGCCTCAGCCCGGGGAGCCGGGAAGGATGAGGAGAGGGGGGACAGGGTGACTGTGGCGGCCTCGGAGCTCCAGGGAGCCCTGGATGGAGCAGGGCTGGGACAGTGGAGTTCAAACGCTGGGAAGGGGCTGCAGGAGGGGAGTTTGGGGGGTTTTGGGGGAAGGAGGCTCAGGGCTGGGGGCACACCAGGGACCCCGGGCGGGCACTGGGACCCTTGGGGAGGCACCAGGGCCCTTGGGAGAGCCCTGGGGTCATTGGGATGGCACTGGGATCACTGGGATGGCACTGGGATCACTGGGATGGCGCTGGGATCACTGGGATGGCACTGGGATCATTGGGATGGCGCTGGGACCCTCAGGATGTCAACTGGAGCCCTTGGGAAGGCACCAGGGCGCAGGGGAAGGCACTGGGACCCTCAGGACATCACTGGGGTTCTTGGGGTGGCACCAGGGCTCCCAGGCAAGCACTGGGACCCTCGGGATAACACCGGGCCCCTCAGGATGGCACCGGGACCCCCGGGATGGCACTGCGCCTCCAAGCCCCGGGGCTGCAGGGATCGTGGGAGGTGAGGGGGGGCAGACAGCCTCGGCTCCGTCCCGGACTGTGCCCTGAGGGCTCCCCGTGCCCTCAGGATAGACCCGTGTGGGCAGCGCCGGGAGCGCTGAGGGGGCGGCGATGGCGGCGGCGCCTGAGGGGGGATGAGGGGGAGGGACCGCCAGGGGGCGCCAACGGGCGCCGCGCGGGACTCCCGGCGCGGGCGGCGCCACGTGACGTTCGGGGCACGTGACACCGGCGGGGGCACGTGACACGGAGCGGGAGCGCGTGAGTCGGGATGGGATTGGGATTGGGATGGGATTGGGATTGGGATGGGACACGGAGGGACGGGACGGGAAAGGCGCTGGTCAGGGTGTTGGTCACCGACCTGAGCGGGTTTCTGGGGACGATGCGGGACCCGTGGGCGGGGAGCGGCTGATCCACCTGAAGGCTGGAGAACTGGGCGGAGAGGAGCCGAGCGAGGCGTTAGAATTCATTAGGATAACCTAGTGAGGTTCCAGCGGGGTCCTGCACCCGGGGGGAGGAGCAACCCCAAAGCACCAGCACGGGTTGGGGGTGGACACGGGGGTCAAGGTGACAATGAGCCAGCAGCGTGACCCGGGGCCAGGAAGGACAGTGGGATCCTGGGGTGCATCGGGAAGAGCGTTGCCAGCAGGCCAGGAAGGGATCCTGCCCCTCTGCTCAGCCCTGGGGAGGCACACCTGGAGTGCCATGTCCAGTTCTGGGCTCCTCTGGAGAGGAAGGACGTGAGGGAGCTGGGCTTGGTTAGTCTGGAGAAGAGAGGACTGAGAGGGGGCCTCATCAATGTGTAAAAATATTTCCCAAGTGTCAGGATGGTGCCAGGCTCTTCCCAGTGGTGCTCAGCCACAGGACGAGGAGCAGTGGCCATAAACCAAACCACAGGGAGTTCCACCTCCACACGAGGAAGAACTTCCCTTGGAGGGTGGCAGAGCACTGGAACAGCTGCCCAGGGAGGGCTTGGAGTGTTCCCCCCTCTCTGGAGCCATTCCAAACCCCCCTGATGTGTTCCCGTGTTACCTGCTCGGGGTGACCCTGCCCGGGCAGGGGCTGGGCCTGGGCGGTCTCCGGAGGTCCCTGGGGGCTCTGTGACGCTGTGGTTCCCCCCAGGCACGGCCATGGTGTCGGGCAAGCAGCTGGCAGACTTTGGCTACAAGGCGTTCTCGGGCTCCATGATGCTGCTGACGCTCTACGGGGGGTACCTGTGCAGCGTCCGCGTCCACCGCCTGCTCCAGCGGCGCCGGGAGCGCCAGGAGAGCGCGCCTGGCCCCCAGAGCTGAGCCTGCTCCGGCACTGGGAGCTGGGACCGGCCTGGGACTGGCCTCACACCCAGCCCTGAGAGCTGGGACCAGCCTGGGACCAGCCCCACGCCCAGCCCTGGGAGCTGGGACCAGCCTGGGACCGGCCCCACACCCAGCCCTGGGAGCTGGGACCGGCCCCATGCCCGGAACTGGGACCTCAGCCGGGACTGGGACCGGCCCCAGGAGCTGAGCCAGGACTGGGACTTGTCCTGTGCCCGGCCTGGGACTGATCCCATGAACTGAGCCTGGCCTGGGACTGGGACCAGCCCCATGCCCAGCCCTGGGACCTAAACCAGGACTGGGACTGACTGGGGGGGCAGCAGGAACCACCCTGTTACCCCCTCCCCAGGATGGGAGGAGGTGGAGCTCAATAAAACCCCTGTGAAAAGCAGCCAGCTGGGGTGCTGTGTTTGTGGTGTCCCCCAAAGCAGGGAATCACGGGCTGGGATGGGTTGGGAGGGACCTTAAATGTCACCCAGTTCCATGGGCAGAGGGGCACCTTCCACTGGTCCGTCACCTCTTCCCTGTTCTTCCAAGCTCGGCCTGAAACACCTCACCCCAAGTTTCTGAAGCAACTTTTAATCGGAGATAAAGAGTAAACAACAGTATAAAATGGTAACAAGTCGAGAAAGTTTCCAAAATTCTGCTCCTGATTGACCGTTCCATTGCCCCCAAGTACCATTGAGTTAAAAAAAAAAAAAAAAAAAAAAAAAAAGAGAGAAGCAGAGCCCACTCTGTGGCTGGTCTTCCAGCCCCGGGTCCCTCCACAGCTGCGGCATCAGAGCAGCAACATTCACTTCTGTCTCGGGGTACAGGACCAAAACATGTCATTTTTTTGGAGGGTTAAAACCCAGCCCACCAGTTCTGATCCTCCCTCCGATCCCAGCGTAGCCAGCTGGATCCAGTAGGTCTAGAAAAAAGTCTTCGAAACCACAATTTGCAAAAGGAAAAAAAAAAAAAAAAAACAAAACCAATTTAAAAGGCCTGGATTGTGCTGGTTGTCTCAGGGGCAATAAACCACCCCCCTCCCTCCCCCCCTCCTTGCAGAAGGCTTTGGTCAAGACTTCAGAGGGGTTTGCAGCACCAAAAGAGGCAGCAGACGCTGGGCTGGTCCCTGGTGACAGCGGAGATGAGCAGCTGGGACCCCCCAGCACCCCAGGGCGGCGGTTCTGGGGCAGCACAGTTCAAAGCTCGGCTGGGAGAAGAGTCTGAGCCTCAGCCAGGGCAGTCTGGACGTGGAACCTGCGTTCTCCCCTGCTCTGAAGCGGCTCCTGGAGTGCGTCGAGAGGTGCTGAACCAGCCTGGCCCAAACCTGCCGTGCCTCGAGGTGATCCCAGTGAAAACCAGTCTGTCACAAACAACGACACCTCTGCGAGTATCAACAGCAACTCAGGGCTTTGGGGTGGGATTGCTGGGGAGTTTTTTTTTTTGTACTTTTGAAGTACAGAATGGCTCGAGGTGGAATCCACAGTGTTTGTTTTCGTCCCTCCTGCTGCCCAAACAAAGCCTCTCGGACTGGTCAGGGTTGTGCCCGTTTCGGGTTTGCTGGAGGTTTCTGGGGAAGGGTTTTTTTTTGGTTTTTTTTGATTAAAGATCACTTGGGAATGTGGAGCTCAACACAACTAGATATTGAAAGAGAAGTCCGTGCTCGCTCAAGGCCAGCCCAGGGCCTTTACTCCTCTCCTGTCCACTGGCCGCCGGCCACGTGGCCGTTGAGGCGGTTGGAGCCGTTGCTGGAAGTGCTGAAAACTCCTTTTGTGCTGTTGGAAGTCACATCCTCCTCCTCAGAGCTGCTCTCCACGTCGCTGCGGTCATCCTTGGACACCTGAGAGGCGGCCGGTGGGGGAGTGGGAGAGGGAGGAGGGGGGGAGTTGGAAAAGGCACAGAAAGCAGCAGTTAGAGGGCTGTGCCCACAGGGTGAACCAGCTCCAGTCACACCTGCCTCCTACATTTGGGCCTGGGTCAGTTCAGGCTCCCAAGGAGGATCCTGTCATCACGTTAGGAGCAAGACAGACACACTGAAAGCGACAATCTGGGGGGGTGAGTTCCATTTTCCAGACACTCTGTGCATCTGTGAAAAGCCCTCTGCTCCCTCTGCTCTCACCAGAGCAGAGGACACTACAGATCTGGGGGTGTCCTCGTCTTCCAGGAGCTCCACTCGAGATGGGTGAAAGGGCATTTTTCCTAAACAGCCTGTTTTGACTCAGAAACTTCCCATGCCATAATCACCAGTGGGCACAATGACCAAAAGCCAGCGATGTATCAGTGTGAGAGAGAACATTTTGTCCCACAGGGAGTGGCTCTGCCTGCTGTAAAAATTAACCAGCTGCATTTATCACATCACTGCTCGCACCACCGAGTGCCTCCCCAGTTCCACAGCCTGTGCTTCACCCAGGAGGTCCCACTGAGGAGCCTGCTCGGAGAGCAGGATGGAGAACAAAGGCAGTGTCTGATCCAGCAACGCCGCTGGGAACGGGAGGAGCCTCATCCCAGAGCTCCAGACCTGCCAGCAGAGTTGTTGTGCCTTAGCTCAGAGCCTGGCTGCAAACCCAGCTCAGTTGGATCTGCGTGTGTGGGAATCTGAAAACCTTTCCAGGAGGGCTTTGGTGCCACAGGAGGGCCCTATTCCAGCCCTGTGGAGCCAGAAGGGAAAGGGAAGAGCCCACAAACCCGGCCCTGACTGCAAACACGCACCAGGGAGGTGGCAGGTGCCAGAGGCAAAACCTCCCCAGGCCCCTGCTGTGCTCCTGCCTCTGCAGCCAGCAGCCCCCACGTGCTCCATGTGCCAGCACTCTGGCTCACAGCTTTCCAAGGATTCCAGGATTTCACTCTCTGCCCCCTCTGAGTCAGGGTTAGGGCCCTGCAGCAGCAGGAAGTGGTTGAACTCCAGGGAAGCTCTGGCAGCAAGCCAGGTGAAGTTAATGATCTCCAGGAGCCTGCTGGATGTCCTGGCTTCTGCCCCTTGCCAGAACTTTTGCTATCTGTCCCCAATCTCCTGCTATGTTGGAAGTTCAAAGGGTCACTGGAAGGAAGCAGAAATCCCTTGGATTTTTTCCCATTACTGGGGGATCAGGGACTGTCTTACTCCTTTTCACAGAAAGGAGCAGTTTCCTCCTGTCCTCTGCCCCTCAGGGCGGTGCTGAGGAGGAGCCAAGACAGAAATCTGAGTGTGTGTAAAAGCAGAAAGTGAAGGTCATGCAGGCAGGTGACAGCAGGTAAGATCAGACCCCAGGACACTGCTCTGCCCTTTGGAAAAACCTGCATTTTGGCACTTTGTCAGGAGCAGGGAGAGAAGGAGAAGGCACCAAAGCCCCAAGACCTGGAGCTCTGCTTTTGTCCTGGCCTCGACACAGAGGTGTTTCAGTGAACAAAGAGAACCACAGGTCACACTTACATGCAAAGGGTGGAACTGTCCAGCTCCAATCTGGCACAGAGAAAAGGAGAAAAGAATGAAGAAGACAGAGCTTAGAGTCCTTTCTCTGGCTAGGTCACCTGGACAGGAGAGAACCAAGGAAAAGGAAAAGGTGTAGAACTCAGGATACAGAAACAGCTCCAGAGACAGAAAATCAGGCATTTGCAGCTGTGGGGAACAGATGAAGAGCTCAGAGTCCCAAAACCTGCCTTCCCCCACAGTCCCTGCCAGAGGCAACCAAGACAGAAACATTTCTGAAGGTCACATTCCCTCTGTGCTAAAGTCAAACACAAAATAACGTAGAGCCACGAGAGAAACTCGGCTCAGAACACCAACATCTGACTGGAAAAAGCATCTGTCCTGCTAATTCAGCTTCTGCTCCTTCACAGAATCATAGAATGGCTTGGGTTGGAACAGGCCTTAAGGATCATCCAGTTCCAACCTTCCACTCAGGTGCTCCTGGCCTTGAACTGGATGATCTCAAAGTCCAACCCAGGCCATCCTGTGATTCTTTGTCAACCAGCAAACCCCTCTGCGCTCCTGAGAGCCCTTTCCCTCCACGCTGGAGTGCCTGTGCTGACAGGTGAAGATGCACAAACCCTCAGCACGTCCCCAGGACCAGCTGAAGTTGGAAAGTTGGAAAACATCCTGTGTGTTCATCCTGTAGTTCAAAAACAAAAAAAAGAGCCTGACACCACCCTGAACTCCAGAGCACCCAACGAGTCCATCACCACCATTACTATTAAAACATCTGAGCAGGCCCAGGACACAGGAAGCCTCCCTGCCCCTGAACACACCTGGGAACTGCAGAGCCACCAAGCTAAAAAAAAACCCACCCAGTTTCTCAGGATTTCCTTGTCAGGGCTCGTGGGAAAGAGGACCCCCCCCAAGGCCACCCCCAGGCTCACCTTGCCCCGCACCAGGGCCTTGGAGGCCGTGCGGACGATGAGGTAAGACCAGATGATGTGCAGGACCTGCAGGGTCACCAGGAGCCCGTTGAAGAGCCACCAGGAAGGGTAAGGACCGATCAGCTCCCAGCTTTCGAACAGGGTCGTGTTCAGAATCCTAAGAGAGAGCCAGGAACAGGTTTCAGATCGGCTGTGGGGTGACAGTTGTGCCGGTCTGGGGGGTGCCAGGGCCAGATGCACAGCAGTTTGTGTCTCACTGAGCATCTGCTGCTTTTGCTCCTGCCAGAGTCAGGAGACGAGATTGAAGCTAATTAGAAACATTGGAGCAACAAACAGAAGATGTGAAATGTGCTGCAGTTGGGTTCCACGCAGGGATCTGCTGCCAATTTCCTTCTCCAAGGCACGAGCATTTATTTATAACAACCTCGCAGGAAGTGATGTCAGGCTGCTCTGGTCACCAAAACAACTGTTAACACGTCCCTGCCCGGGCTGTCCTCACCCTTGCATCAAAAATCATGTGGGCACAGGCCCAGGGCAGGGACTGTCCCCCTGTGCTGGCCCTGCTGAGGCCCCTCGAGGGCTGGGCCCAGTTCTGGGCCCTCAACAGGAGAGACTGAGCGGCTGGAGAGTGTCCAGAGCTGGGGAAGGGGCTGGAGAGCTGAGGGAGCTGGGGGGGCTCAGCCTGGAGAAAAGGAGGCTCAGGGGGGACCTTCTTGCTCTCCACAACTCCCTGATGGGGTTGGAGCCGGGTGGGGTCGGGCTCTGCTCCCAGGGAACGAGGGACAGGACAAGAGGAAACGCCTCAAGCTGTGCCAGGGGAGGGTCAGGCTGGACTTCAGGGAAAATTTCTTCATGGAAGGGGTTGTTGGGCCTTGGCAGGGGCTGCCCAGGGAGGTTTGGAGTCCCCACTCCTGGAGGTGTCCAAGGAAGGCCTGGCCGTGGCACTCAGTGCTCTGGGCTGGGGGACAAGGTGGGCACATCGGACACAGGGTGGGCTCAGTGATCCTGGAGGGCTTTTCCAGCCTCAGGGATCCTGGGATTCTGTGATCAGAAAGGAGTTCTGTTCCCAGTAGGCCTCGCTCCCTCCCTCCCTGGGTGCTCCTCTCTTCCCTCAGAGTTTTCCAGATTCCTCCTGCCAGGCTGGAAGCCTCGGAACTGCTTTATGGCCCAAGCTTTGTGTTTCTTTCATTACTGTTTTGCTGTTCCTGTTGCTGGGAGTTATTGCCAGTCCTTAAGTAATTTAATAAACACTTTGGATTTTATGGTGCAGAGAGAGGTATGGAGAGACCTTTAACAACATCATTAATTTCACACAGGCTTTTAACGTTCTACCAGCAAAGCAAAACGAGCCTTTCTCAAACAGGCACCCAAAAATGCCCCAAAAGGCAGCTCCAGAAAATATTTAACTCATAGCAGGTTTATGAAAAGCAATTCCAGAGATCTGTTCATGTTTCATATCACTGATCAGGGGTGGGAATGCACGTGGAGTGAAACAGCCCGGGGTCTGCAGGGTTGTTGCTGTTTCCAGATTCCTCCAGAGAGCTGAGGAATGACATTACAGCCAGTGGAAAACACATTAAAGATTTACAGGATGCTGAGCACTGGCGTGAGGGGAGAGCATCCCCTCGTGACAGGCAGGAGCTGCAAAAACAACCCCAACTCTCTCGTCTGTCTGTCCCTGGAAGGAGCTTACAAGGAAATAAGAATTAAAGCTCTTCCTCATCCAGGCTCCTTTGGTGCATTTACTGGAAAATAAGCCAGAGCTTTAGCTGATCCTAAAGTGAAAGGAGGGTTTCTGCCCACCAGGCACCCAAAGGGAATGGGAATGTCAGCTGTCCATGGCCCAGGGAATGAATACACGCAGTAAAAACGTGTAACCAGATTTCCACCACGAGCAATAAACGGACAACAGCTCGTTAAACACGAGCACCTCACCGAGCCTGACCTGCTGAGGTGAGAGGGAATCTCATTACAGGATGATTCTCTCTAAGCCATTTATCCAGGGTTTTACCTCTCAAGAAACCTCAGGCCTATTTCAGGCTCTGAGCAGTCACGACACAAGGACAGGACACGAGTGCCATAAAAATGAGAAACTGCAGTGATGACTAAGCCAGATCCCAATGAAAATTACCTCAAGAGGCTGAGCCTCGCTGGTAATTATTTCTCAAACTCCTTAAGAGAAGCAAAGAACCCTCCAAGCCTCTCAGAGCAGATTCTGGCTGACTCTGCTCCAGCTAATGAGCTCTGTCACTGCTGCTCAGGAGAGGGACTGGGATTCTGGTCCCTTCTCCCACTCCCTCAGCTGACTGGGGAGAGGTTTTCTCATGTTCCTACTTGAACCTCCTGCCCTGGGCAGCACCTTGGGGGCCTCTGCAGCTTCAGAGGGACAGGCTGGAATGCTTGGGGGAGGAGTCTGAAAAACAGAGGCTGGGAGGACTGGGAGAACAAACAGGACCTCCCAGCTCCAGGTGCTCACTCACCAGAAAGGGTAAATGCCCAACCGTGTCACGATGAACACGACCCCGAAGAGCATGAAGAAAGCATCACACACGCGTTGGTACTTGGCATAGTTGGCCAGTTTTGCAGCCTAAAAGAGATGAGAAACACAGCAATATTATTCCCTTTGTGCACTCCTGTAATTACCAGGCTGGAGAGCTTCGAGAAACTCTCAGTCACGTTTGCACAGTTTGGAACAATTAGGGATTATTATTATGAATTATTATGTATGATGCTATGGGGAGAGACTATTTCCAAGGGCCTGGAGGGACAGGCAAAGGGGAATGGCTTCCCACTGGCAGAGGGCAGGGTTAGGTGGATATATTGGGAAGGAATTCCTCCCTGCTGAGGGTGGGGAGACCCCGGAATGGATTTCCCAGAGAAGCTGTGGTCCCCCCATCCCTGGGAGTGTCCAGTGCCAGGCTGGATGGGGCCTGGTGGAACTGGACGACCTCTGAAGGTTCCTCCCACCCCAAACCACTCCAGTGATCCTCAACACTGAGGCAGGCAGGGGGAAGAGCTGACAGGGCAGGAGCAGCAGCACAGATTTTGCGGTGCACTGAACGCTATTTATGAGGAAAAAGGGGTTATGTCAGCCTGTCCCCCCCGGGATCACAGCAGCTCTCTGGATGCAGGGGATTGACAGGAACCTCACCTCCAAAAGGAAATCTGAGGCATCGTGGAGGCACAGCACCAGGGTTCCAACCCGCACCATGTTGTTCATGTAAGAGAAGGTGATGAGTCCGATGGTGGCCAAGTGATGGACGAACATGATCAGGAAGTCCTGGAAACAGGGAGGGGAAGAAAAAAAAATAACAACAAAAACATAAAAACTCTCTGGCTGTCAAACAGATCCAAAGGTCTGGGACAGAGCCACCAAACTGGGGTGACAGGATTGCTGGGCTCTGACTCCACCTCGTCACACGTCCTGCCAGAGAGGTCTCCCAGCTTTGGTGCTCCTGGAGCCAGAGCTCTGCAGGTACAGGGAGCCCACACCCAGCTCTGCGCCTGCAGAGCCCTCTGAAGTGACTGACAGGACACCATATGGCCCCTATTTTTGGCTCTTGGCACAGATTTCAGTGCTGCTACTGCTGCCAGTGATCAACCCCTGCCAGGGCAGAGCAGGCACAGAACACCAGATAAACCCAGCAGGAAGAGCGAGGCCTCTTCATTACAAAAAACGTTTACAACGCACAATATCCAGTTCAGCCCCCGGGTACAACCCTCCCGTGGCCCTGGACCTCCCCCTGCTGCAGTGGGGAATGTGATCCGCTCATTAAAGTCAAAATTAAACATTATAAACACCACCCCAGAGGTTGTTCATCACTCCCTGTCTGGCAGCTCCACCGTATCCCGTAGGGGCCTCACCTGCCAATATTTCAGCACTGAAAAAAAAATCACAGGCAATCTTAGGGGTTGGTTTGGTGTTTTTTTTTTTTTTTTTTGAACAGCCAAGGCAAGAGTTGGGATAATTTGCTGCTTTGCAGCTCGTGGAACAGCAGCAATAAACCACTGATTTACTGGGAGCTGCTCCCCAGCAGCAACACTGAGCCAAATCCCGGAGCAGAATCAGACCCGAGCAGCTCGTCACCTGCTCCACACACAGAGTGAAAAATCACTCTCAGAAACCCCATTTATTATTAGTGCTTGCCATTCCCTCAGCAGCTTCAGCAGGGTCCTGCTTTGGGCAGCTCGTTTCCTTGCAAGCCTTCCAGTTAAATCTATTTTTTTTTAGGCAGTGGTTTTTGTTAACTTTTGATTGGGAGGCACTGAGTGATTCTGCTCCTTCCCCTGGAAGGTGAGAGGGACTCAAGGCTGCAGGTCAGGCTTGTTTCTCCCTTTCTCCCAGGGCTGGGTAGTGATTACAGGAGGAGGAGCTTTGTTCACGTTTTTTGTTCCCCCTATTTGTTGTTATCATCATTACTGTTAATTCTTATTTGAGCTGTTAAGTGGTTAATGCAATTTTGGTTCATCTCACCTTCCGTTTAATGTCTGTAAACTGAGAAAACATGAGGGACCAGTAGAAGGCCAGCTCCAAGATATAGTAATAATAAAGCCTGGATGTTAGAGGCTGGAACGCAGAGACAGCACAGTTAGAAAGGCAAAACACTTTAAAATTTACATCAAAATCGCTTTTTTTCCCCTTCCTCCTTCCCCATCCCACTCTGCCCCTCCAGAATTGCTGAGGCACAAGTTAAATGATTAAGGTTTAGTAACAACAAAGCTTAAGCAGCAGAGGTCTTGCTCCAGGCTCACTCACACAACCACACTTGTGTGTCTGAGCTTTATTCCAAAGGAGTAAAATTCCCCTGTCAATATTTACAGCTCCTGCTGAAGCCTCTTGGAGTAGGAAAACCAGGCTCTGGAACAGACTGGTTGGCCTCTGCACAACCAATAAATAAATTACCACGATGATTTTATCCCTTTTTTTTTGCCTTCCCCACACTTTTAATAATCTCAGCAGCCAGTAAACATAAAATGAATGAGCCAGTTGTAACTGAGGAAACTCTGCTGATGCCAAACCTAACCAGAATGTAAAGACATAAAGGGTAAATGCCAGAGCTTTGATCCAGTGCATTAACAAAAATAAAACCTGCCACTGTGCCCAAAAAGTTGGAATTTAGGAAGGGTTTCCCCTCATACCTGGAAAGGGTAGTTGTACCAGCACTGTCGTGTGTCCCAAAACCAGGGGGCCTGAAGGGAAAGGGAAGTTATTATAGAAATAAGCTTTATAAAACCCCAGCTTTTAACTCCCCACCACCTAAAGACACTGTTTCACTGACATTTAATCTTGATTCTGCCATTCCAGCTAAATTTATTGTATTAAAACCTTCTTTTTTTGCAGTCAAATGGGAGTTGTACTGCAGTGGAAATTCCAAGAATAATCATTCAGCTCTAATAACAATAAAGACCCAAAGAGATGAACCAGTGTCCCTTCAAGAGGGAGAGGAGGAAAAAAAGAAGCAACTCCCCACAGCAAAAAAAAAACCACACCCAGTTTTGTCCCATTCTGGGGCAACAGGAAAAATAATTTTCTATTATTTCCATAAATGACAGATCTGTACAGAAGCTTCCCTGCAGAGGAGAAAACCAGGGAACACAAAGATCACCATTAAATCCCCCTCCTTCTAAGCCAGGGGAAAGCACCAAAGAAGAGACAAAATTTAGGGGGGGAAAAACCCCTAAATTTTGGCAGGACAGAGAGAACCCAGCTGCAGCCACACAGAGCAGGGGAGGGTGACAGACCAACTCACCGTCCAGAGAAACCTGATTCCATAAAAAAATATACTTAAATAAAATGTAAATCTCCACCTGGAAAGAAAAAAGAAGCAAAAAATAAACTTAGGACAGAGGAGCAGCTTCTGGTTCACAACTGTCACAAAAACACAGTGAGGTAATCGTGGCAAACCCCAATCCTGACACCTCAAAAGCTTTCACTCACCTTCATTCCTAAACATTTCAGGTAAGATAAACCCATTTAAGAGTTTTGACTCCACACATGAGTCTGCATCAACAGGCAGGTTTGAAGCTCAGGGTGAACATGCATCATTCATATGCTTTTATAGACAGCAAGATAACAACAAGCAAGGTCATTGTTATCCAGAGCTATCCTACTATATTTATTTGTCCCTCTTACCTTGTGGCTTTAAGCAGACAAAACCACACTGGGGGGAAGAATTAAGGAGAAGAAAGTTACTGGAAAGGAACCAGCACAGGAGAAACGAGCCAGGAAAAAAAAAAATATTCAGGTGCTACTCCACTACCAGAGGTAACTGCAGGAGCTCAGGGAGGAACAGAGAACAAAGAACGAGAAGCAAAGGAAGCCAAGAAGTGGCTGTAACAAAGTCTGTACATTGTGTAAGCCAGAAGGTCACTGTGTCTGGGAACAAACACCTCGACTGTGCGGGCAGCAGGCCCCTTTTTCAGGAGCTTTCCACTCCATTTGGGCACGTGCAGACACACAGGGTGCACACCCAGGTGCCCCGTGGCACGAGGGACATGGCCCACTGCCCGAAGCTGCTCCCTGCTGACGGGGCTGACCCCTGTGCACGAGTTCTGCTGCCCCTCAGGCACAGCCACCCAGAATTTCGGGATTTTAAGAAGCCCTTTCTCTGCCTGCAGGAGAATTTCGGCCCTGGTTTGGACGAGCAGCTGCCCAGGGGTGGGTTAGAGGAGGGGGGAGCCTCTCCCAGACGTACATGCTCTCACAAAATTTCGTGAGGGTGGTGGGTTTGTCCTGGTTCCTCCGGTGCCGGAACCAGCGCTGGATCTTCCGCACGTCCCAGTCCAGCTGCTTGGACAAGCCTTCCAACCGTTTTGCATCTGGAGACTGAAGGAGAAACGAAAACAAGGGGTCACTCCTCCCACCTCCCAGCCCGCCTTCAGGCCTGCCCTGGGACAGGAATGATGCACAGGCAAACAGAAAACACGCCAGGAGGGGACTGAAGAAGAGCCTGAAAGCAGGAACCCCCTGCCACAAATGTCCACTCAGGTTCAACCTTCATAAGCCACTAATTACTTAATTATTCAGCCCATGGGTTTGGTTGAACAGTTTCCTCACCTATTTCATCCTGTCAAAGGATGCCTTTGTTCCGTGCCTTAATCTGGGGGGAGGAGCTGTTAAAAGTGTCCTGTCCTACCTGTTAAAGCTGCACATCAATTCAAACAGCCCAAAGCTGAAGTAGAGGTGTAAAGGGGTTGCTCCTCGCAGCAAGGACAGGGAAACTTTAAAGCAAGAGCTGGTTCAGCAGAGCAGATGTTTGTGCATTCTAAAGGGCATCGTAGAAATTGGGTTATTTCTGTTATTGAGGTTTATAAACGGAAATAAATCTGAGGACTGAAAGAGTTGTGTGATAAAGAACACATCCCTGTTCTCTGGCTGGGAGTTTGTCTGAATGAAGACAAATGGGTTTATCAAAGGCAAAAAGTGAACCAAACCTGGTAACTCCCTCTGCAATGGGCCCAGGGGTGAGATAATTCAAGAGCAGTGTCCTTTCAACAAGCTCTGCCAGGGAGCTCTTACCACTGGCAGCTGATAAACACATTTCACTGCTTGAGTTACACACAAACCCCAAAAACTATGCAGGGTGCTGATTTAACACAAAGTCACCAGTCTGTCCAGCTCAAAGTCACCTGTAATTTGAATTTCAGTGCTGAGAGCTGTGTCCCACCAGTCCCTCCCAACCAGACCCCTCAGCACTTTACTGGGATTTAATGGTCGGGGCTGACACTGCACTGGAAGGGAATTTGTCTCCAAGGAGGATTCCAGAGCAGCAGTGCAATCCTTCCCCAGCCCAGCTCTCCAAACCCAGCAGCAGCCACAGCTCAGATAAATTCTGCACAGCCTGTGACCTCCTGGGCTTTCTCAACATTCATTTCAAGGGCACCCCCTGCATTAAAGTCCTCCCCACAAACAGCACCAGATCCTGGGGAGTTTTCAGCTCACTGCAAACGCCTCAGAACTTTAATGTTCCCACAGGGCGACTTTTAGGGAGGTTTTTAGAGAATTCCCCTTTATCTGCTCCAGGAGATGAGGATCAGCATCCCCAAATCTCAACATCAAGCCTTCCATTCCCCTTATCTTTAATGGAAATCTCTCTCACTGCCTGCAAGGACTTCACCGTCAATATTGAGCAAAATATTCAGCAAATAAATATTGAATAAAAACTCTGGAGTGATGGAGCCCTGAGAGCTTCAGGGAAGGAGGAAGGCACCTCCTGCCCTTCATCTGACTGAACACTTCCCTCAATAACCCACCTGCACTGAGAGCTGCTGCCCAATCCCACAGTAAATGGCACAAATAAGGGGAAGGCATTCACAATAAACCCAATAAAACCAGCAAAGGCACAAAGTTCAAGGAAAAGAGAAGCTCTCCCCCAGCAAAAGTGGAAGATACTGGGAGATCTCTTGTTAAACCAAGGATCACCACCTCTCACAGGAGTTAGAACCAAAGGAAGCAGCTCAGACCTGTCTGTAAAGGGGAACATTTTTATTCAAGAGCAGATTTTTCTGGGCACAAAACCACGGCTGAGCCATCAAGGGAATTAACTCTGACAGAGGCAAAGCCAAGCCAGAAGGAGCCCACTGGTGAATGCACAGGGGGAGATGTTTCCCTCACACCAGAGGAGTGGAAGCAAAAAGCCCCCCCCTGCCCCATTCCTTCCTTGCAGGGCCTCCACTCCCAGCAGGATTTGGACCGTGGCTCACCTTGGTGATGGATGTAAACACTTTCTCTAGGATTGCATTGGGCTGGGCTCTGTGAGGTCCACTGTCCTGGATGCCAAGGTTTATGGCACATGGCTTGGCAATAAACCTGCAAGAGTTCACAAGGAAGAACTGCATTAAAAAAACAACATTTTTATTTCCCTCCTCTGCCTGAATCACAAAATCCCAGATCTGTCCCCAGCTGCAGAACCTGGGGGGGGAAAAAGCTTCTGGAATCTCCACTTGCTCTGCTTCAAGGAACTTCCCACGTGAAGTAATTTCTTTTCTTAGTCCTCCTGGTAACTGCAGGCAGCACATTCTGTGCACATCAGAGGGAAGAATTAAATCTCAGTGTCCTTGGCCTGCAAGGATCCAAGTGTGTTCTTCAGGGGGGTTCTCATTCCTCAGCTGCCCAAACTCAACCTCCCATCCCCTACCTGGCTGCCCCTCCTGTCAGGAGAGTGCTCAGGTCCCCTCTGAGCCCCCCCAGGAGTTCTCCAGCCCCTTCCCCAGCATCCACTCCCTTCTCTAGACAACGCTGAGCTTCATTCCAACAGTCACAGCTTTAAAAAAAAAAATAAAATAATTAAAAAAACAAAGAAGGAAGGAGTGATTTCCTCCGAGCTCGGCTCCAAGGGCTCCCGGCTTCCGCCCCAACCCGGACCACCAGCCAGAGCCTGTGTCCTGATGTTATGAAACAGCTGGCAAGACCCCCCCAAAAATGTACAGCAACAACAAAAAAAGGTATATAAACCCCAAATCTTTCTGCTCTGCTGTCCTGCAGGATGTATCACCCCAGCAGCACAGAGGTTCATATGTGCAGTCACAGGACGACAAAGAGTTTGAGTTCATCTTCTGGGACGTGGTGCTTAATAGCTCTATTTGAAAAAAAACAAAACAAAAAACCAACAAAAAACCCCCCTTAACCTGGCCTGAAAATACTCAGTTTGTGCCAGTTGCCTCCTGTCAGAGAGGAAACCTGAAAAAAATCTAAAAATCTGCACATTCACAGACTCGTGGAAGAGCTGGGGTTTGAAGGGACCTCTGGACAGCATCTGCTCCAACCCCCTGCCAAGGCAGAGGCACCCAGAGCAGGTGACAAAGAGCAGATCAGGAACCTACAGACATTCCCAGGTGCACAGAAAGCAGACACTGGAAGCGGGAGGTGGTGCCAGTCACAGAAAACGGGAAGGAAAAGGGATGGCACGGTGGATTTCCTCACTTTTCAGGAAGTCTGGCCCAGTCATAAGGGAGCGTCTCTAATTCCTCAATTCATGGTCCATGCAAGTGCCACCTGTCCTTCCACAGGGGCTCCTGAGGGAGGGGATTCACCTGGGCAAAGGGGCACAGCCAGCTCACACTCCTGATTCCAGGCACGGTCCATGTGCCTGGAGCATTGCAGGTGGGAATGGTCAGTCCTGTGCTCAGTCAGGACAATCCCAAGCTATCCAGGGATTTAGGTGTCCACCAAGGACTTAAAGCCTCTGTGGCATTTCAGCTTTTTGGCCCCAGAACAGGTTTCCAGGTTTTTCTGCAGCGGATCCTGCACCGAGAAGGTTCTGCACAGCGAGGAGAAAAAAAAGGGGAAAAACATTTCCTAGGGGGCAGAATTCCCATTCTTGGGGATATCCAAAAGGAACAGCACAAGACCACGAGCGACGTGAGCTGCCTGAAGGTTGGCCTTGCCTCGAGGAGGAGATTGGATGAGCTGACCTTGAAAGGTCCCCTTTTAATCTAAATGATTTTACGATTCTATGAAATCTCAACGGCAGCAAACCCGGCCCAAGGTCAGCTTGCTGCCACACCCCCCAGGAGGACATTCCCATCCCAGGAACACCTCCATGACACCTTCACGGCCAGGGACCAGCTCACACCTGAGCCTGCCCAGCCCCTTTTTCACACCAGTTGTTTCAGACTGATTTTAAAACCCCCACCGAATTCCAAGCCCGCAGACTCGCAGGTAACAAGCAGTTCATGCCTCACAAAAAGGCAACCTCTGTCTTTTATGGAACATTCCAGTTTGGCTGTGACCGCCTGTTAGAGCTCTGAAGGGAAGAATGATCTCCAAACAGTGAGATTTATCAAATATTCACTCAGTTCCTACACCTGTACTCTCTCAGTTTTGCTGTGTGAAGATTAAAGCACCTCATCCCACAGCTGTCCCTAATTTTCCGCGCAGACCCGATGAAGTAACAGCTAAAATCACGTTTTCTCCCCCGGAGCACAAGCTGCAGATCATTCCTCAGGCCTGTCCGGTGACACCCACACATCTGGTACCAAAGGGCATCTCCAAACACAGCCAGGTTTTTGGAGGCATCTGGAACTCGCTGTCTCCTTGTGCTTGTCCTGGGACAAGAAATAACTCAAAGGCATAACCAAGGATAAAAAACATAACCCCCAAATTTCTGGGCAGAAGTTCTACCCAGAAATCCTCTCTGCCACTGAGTCAGGACTTCACCTTTCTCTGCAAGTCCTGCTTCACCTCTGCAGTCACAAACTGCCCACAGACAGCCGAACCAATGATTATTTCACCAATAAAGCTCCATTTACAGGAGAATCCACTGTGCTACAAGTATTGTGGCCCAAAGCACTTCCTCACACTGAGGAGCTACAGCAGGAGGAGAGGGAGAAGATGCAGCTAAACCAAAAGAGCTGCACGGGTCTATAATTCAAATTCTGAGTCATCGAGCCCAGCTGCCAAATGTGTGTCGAGGAAGGCATCTGACACAATCAGAGCCTGAACTGGGATCAATGCACCACAGGGGCTCGCTGAGACAGAGCTGGACTTTTATGACACGCTCAAAGTGGCCGGAGGAGTTTATTCAAAAAGAAGGGCTTTTAAAATAAACACCCTGGAAACGGCCTGGGATGTTGCTGCCACGATCTGATCGCACTCTGGGACACCACTGAGACGCTGCTGAGAACGGGAACAACTCCCTCAGGAGCCAGACCAAGGGCTCTGGGCTCTGCTGGGCACGAACAGGACTTAATTTGGCACCTGACCCTTCCCTAAATCAGCACCAAAACCGAATTTCACAAACCAGGGAGGACTTCATCAGGGCAAAGCAACTGCTCCCTGGTGTGGAAGGATGGACACTGAATCCCTCCCAGGGAGAACAGAACCTTCTGCACCTCTTCCCCAGGCTGACACCTGCACTAAGGCTTGGAAAGCGAGGGGACCTTCCCACAAAATCCCTCTGCAGGGGTATTGTTGTGTCTCACAACCTCCTTGTTGCCTTCCTGGGTCCTCTGCACTGGTTTTCAGAAGCCTTTTTTCCCCCCTAAGGTCAGAAAGAGAAGTAGGAGAAAGGAAGAGCCCCTCCAGTTTCTCTCCAGCTCCGTTTTCCTCCCTCTTTGCCATCTTTTCACTTCACCCCAACCACCTCCTTACTTCTGGCAGCTCAGGAAGATTCACACTTCGCACACAGAGCCCACGGGATCAAAACCAACCCAATTCCCACTCGTTTCAGTCCTGCAGCCCTTTTCACGCTGAGAAACATTAATAGAATCACACCTCTCCCCGAGCCACCCCCGCCGTTCCAAGGCAGAAATTCACGGTTAAATCGATGCTTAACGAACCTCCCGACCAGGGATACGAGGTGTCTCGGGCCCGCTTCACCTAACGGGCTTCCCAATTAAGCCGCTTTGCTAATTAGCGCCTCTGTCACCCACACAGCTCCACGTGGGGCCGCGAGGGATGCCCAGCGCGGATCAAGCCCTGCCCCGGGGGGTGAGTTAATCTCGTGGTTGCGGATGCTGAGGCGAACGGGGAATCCCGAATTACACCTGTTAGCGTGCAGATAAGGCGATCTGCGCCCACATCCAGCGCGCCCGAGGTGCGGGAGGGCCACAGAGTTGTTTAATAACACAGCGGGGCCACGCGAACCAGCCCTGTTTCCTCCTCCAGGAGCTCGGGGAAAGTACAATAAAACCCACAAGGAAGCCGAGCGCGGAGCGGCTCCCTCAGTCGCGGCTGGGCAGAGGGAATAAAAGCGAATAAAAGCGAGTTTTTACATGAAACACGGCGCTTTCCCCCGCGCTGCCTCAGCACCGGAGGGGCCCCTCAGACCCCGCTCCCACAGGAGCCCCCGGGGCTCCTCCATGTCGCGACACACCCGAGCGGCGCGACAGCTCCCCGAGGGTTACCCGACGTCCCTTCGGCACTCAGGGGAGCCACCCCCGGACCCCCCCGCCCGGCGGCCCCCGCGCTCACCTCTCGAAGAGCAGCCGCACGGCGAAGATGCCGAGCGCCAGCGGGAAGGCGGACAGGACGTGCGCGGCCCGCGGGTACTGCAGCCCGCCGCCCGGCTCGCCCGCCAGGTCCGCCCACGTCACGTTGTGCGGGAGCCAGAACCGCTCGTTCCAGAACCAGGCCCGCAGCGCCGCCGCCGCGGCCGCCGCCATCTTCCGCCGCCTCCGCCTCCTCCTCCTCCTCCTCCTCCTCCTCCTCCTCCCGCCGCCGCGCTCCGGCCGCCGCCACAGCCACAGGGGCGGGGCCTCACCAGGACACGCCCCATCCGCGCCCCGCTCCGCCAATCCCGGCGCAGCCACGGGCCCCGAGGGAGGGGCCAGGGGGAGACCGCGCCCCCTCCGCCACCGGCTCCGCCAATCCGATGCGAGCCCCTCTTCTCTCGCCGCGCCACTGCCCGGCCCGCAGGGGGCGGGGCGGAGGAGGCCGCGCCCCTCGTGGCGCCGTCAGCCAATCCGGGGCGCGCCACACTAAGGAGTGGGCGCGGCTTGGCTAAACCGCGCCCCCCCGCCTCAAACAAGCCGCGGCCCTTATCTCGTCGTCCCAGCGCCTGCCACAGCTCACGGGGGGCGGCACCACAGCCCGTACGAGGTGGGGCTTGCAGAGACGATCCCTCTCATCACCCCCACTCATCCACGCCTCTCATCGCCTCGCCACAGCTCGCGGGGGGCGGGACGCTGGGACCGGGCCCCGCCCAGCACGGCATGTGGTGCTGCGTCCTGTGGGCGGGGCTTTATTTTCTGACCACGCCTCCCCCCGCGCGCGGACCGTTATCCCGGCGCAGGCGCAGTGCGGCGCCCCCGCGTTTCCCGCCTCTGCGCACGGCCCCGCGCGCGCGCGCTCCTGAGGGAGGGGCGCGAGCGCCTTCCCGCCCTCGCCTGAGGGGACGGAGCCGGCGCGCGACGGAGCGGCACAAAACGCGGAAATACCGGGGTAAAAAACCACGGAGTGACATAAAACACGGGATTACGGGGGCGCAGAACCACGGAGTGACATAAAACACGGAAATACGGGGATGGAAAACCATGGGGTGACATAAAACGGAAATACGGGGGTAAAAAACCATGGAGTGATATAAAACACGGAAATAAGGGGTCACAGAACCCCAGAGTGAC